ACAACATTTAGTAAACACATGAGTAGATAGTATTTCACTCCCATTAGAAGGACAGAATTAAAAATCTAGTTCTCAGGAAGTTTTGGTGAAAATACAAAAATAGCAACTATTAAACTTTTATTTGCAATTTCTTACAAAGTTAAATGTATTCCATGATTCAAAAATTCTACTCCAAGGTATTTATATAAAAGACTGAAGTATATGTTCATAAATCACTAATGTGACTCCTATGCTAGTTTTTTTTGTACTAACCCATGTTTTAGAACCTCTCTGGTGAGAATTGAATGTATGTTCCCCCTGTATGAATTTCATATAGTGGTATAAAAAAAAAAGAGGGAACTTTAGGAGATGTGTTGGTTGAAATTATCAGCATGACAACATCTAGAATCTCCTAGGAAATAGGCCTCTGGACATGCCTGTGAGGGATTGACTACATAGGTTAGTTGGGATGGGACGACCAGTGAATCTTTGAACAGTACTGTTCTACAGGCTGGGGTCCTAGAGTGAATACATGAAGAAAGTGAACTGTGAGGGCATTCATTGCTCTCTGCTTCCTGACTGTAGTTGGAATGTGAGCAGCTTCTTCAGGCTCTGCTGCCAAAACTTCCCAGCCATGAGGGACTGGCTGACTGGACCCTTGAACTATGGAGATATAATAAGCTCTTCTTTCCTTAAATTTTATTGTCAAGTTTGTGTGTGTGTGTGTGTGTGTGTGTGTGTGTGTGTGTGTGTGTGTGTGTGTGTGACAGCAACTAGAAAAAGTAAGACTGGGGCTAATTAAGATGAGAACTCTGGGCCTAGCAGTGGTGGTGCACACCTTTAATCCCAGCATTTGGGAGGCAGAGACAGGCAGATGTCTGTGAGTTCGAGGCCAGCTTCCAAAGCCACAGAGATACCCTGTCTCAAAAAAAACAAAAACAAACAAACAAAAAAGATGACAACTCTGCCCTCAGGGATAGGATTAATGCCATTATAGTTCAAACCTCTTGCTCTCTTTACTGTGAGAATATAGGGTGCTGGTGGCAGGCTGAATCTCCCTGGTTTTTCTTGATGTTTGATCTTATCTTCTAGAAATAAAAGTTGTCTTATAAGTGACTGTAAGTCTTATAAGTCTGTCATGTTTTTATTATACCACCTCAAATGAACTATGACACTCATTCACATACCATTAGCAAGAACAAATCATTTTCAATACTGTGTAATGATAGATACCACTCAGTAGTAAAAGAGAACAAACTACTAATTGTGTTCTCACAGTATGGATGATTGTTAGAAATACTTGATTTAAGAAGTCGGCTATAAAGATTTATGTTCTATATGACTTCATGTATACGAATATGGCAAAACCATTATATGATGATGGGAATATAAAGTGATTAAGAGAAGAGTGATGGGAATTGACTGATTCATAGTACACAAGGCATCTTAATGGATTATCATATTTTTTTATGGGCATGTTCTGGGTACAAATTAAAACTTTTCAAATGTAATTGTGTGTTAATTTTATATCATTGTTGTATGTGCAAAAATAGGTTAAAGTAAATTCCACTTTGTGAGAGGAATGATTGCTAACTTATGTTGTTGTAATTATCTTGAAGGCTCTATATAGAACATTTAGATGGTATCTAAGAGAACCTGTAGTGTAGATAAAGCTCTGCTGCTTTTTGTTCTTGAGGTGTAAATGAAAATTTTTCTGTCATAACCTCAAACATTATAGTCTGTTAGGAGAAGTAGTCACTTCCAGTAGAGGGATAGTAGCTCTGAGTTGTGTGCAGTATCATTAAAGTACTGGGGTTTAGTTGGCAGTTACTATTTTTGCTTCCCTTTGTGGTATGTTAGAGTGTGTATCATAGCCCTTAGTGTCCCTTAGGCTTGATGACCTTCAGTAAGATGAACAGGTGGCATATTAATCTCAATGAACTTCAGACGTGGTCATAAAGTTTATTATGTTATCAACTGACCAAAGGCCCAAAGTAGTTTAAAATAGAGCTGCTTCTTATTGTTAACAGATGAGCTCTGCTGTTCTTTTTTTTTTTTTTATTTATTTTTTATTTTACATATTGATCCCAGTTCCCTCTCCCTCCCTCTCACCCTCTCTGCCCCCTCACCTGCACCCTGACCACCCTCCCATCCCCCCACCCCAATTCCACATGTAGGGCAATGCCATCCAGGTGGGGTCATGTAAATCTTGTCAAGTCATTTGAAGGAGAGACTAGGACTTCTTCTCCTGTCTCTAGATTAAGGCAGTTATCCCTCCATGGGGGATGAGTCCGCAAGGTCCTTTTGTGCACCAGGGATACATCCTGGCTCCACTGTCTGAGGTTCCTTAGACTGCTCCGTCCTTCTAGCTGAGACCCATATTCAGGGGGGCCTGAGTCAGCCTATAATTCACACCACCAGAGGAACTAGGGTACAAGGTGTATTCTAAGAGATTCATATAAGGTCCCTCACAGAAGGGGCAAGGGACAAGTCCCCCAGAGCACATGGGAAGTTGGGGGGGGGCAATGAATGGAGAGAGAACTAGGAGAAAGAGAAGGGGAGGAGAGGAAAGCACGTGTGACTAGGAAGATTGAGTCAGGGTAGGAATAGAAGACGGGGGGGGGGGTGGAGAGAGAGAGAGAGAACATAAAAGAGGGAGGCATTATTGATTTGAGGAGAAAACTAAACCTAAAGAAAGGTCTAGAGACCTACAAGACTGCTGCCAACTAACAATTTGAACAACCGTGGAAAGGCTACCATAAATGCCCCCCCCCCCATAGTGAGATCAACAACTAACTTACCCACCATCATAGAGCCCTCATCTAGTACCTGTTGGAAACAGAAGCAAACACCCATAACTAAACATTGAGTCGAATAGAATCCAGATGCAGAGGGAGAGAACAAGACCAGGCTGCAGAAACACACAGAGACAGCTGACCTGAACAAGAAGGAGCTAACGGCTTCCCAGGCTGATAGCTGGGAATCCAGCATGGGACTGCTGTTCTTAAAATAAGAAATACCTTGACACAAGCAAACATTAAGATACTAGAACATGTTAAAAAAAATTAGTTATTTTTAAAACTCCAGTCCATGTGAGTTCTGAACTTTAATAAAATTGAAACAACCAGTGTGGAAACATGCAGGTGCTACATAACTCTTATTTACTAGGAAATAGGTTGAATTAGTATGTAGTAATTTTTACTAATTGTGTAATACTATTTTTTATTCGATAATTCATTATCGAAGTACTTTATAACATTTCAGAATTCAAAAAGAAATATGTGGTATTTAAAAATTTGAACAATTTAACCTCAGCTAGGTATAAACTGAGGCAAAGAAAACCAACTTTCGTTTTGGTGTTAAGAACTCTGGCACATCTGATTATGAGTTGAAGAGCACAGAACTCAACTGTGTTTATATGTTCTAACCCTGAATGTGTTCCAGTTGTGTGTGCCAGTTTACTGAATACCTTTGTTCATTGTCCTTTTTCATTTAGAATTGTTTTCAACATTATAAACATTACGTTAAAATGCTTTATTCAATGTGTTGCTATTAAATTTTATATATAAGGTTAATTAATTAAAAGTAAGCAAAATTCATACAAGAGTAAATGATTAGCAGCTATAAAATAAATGTGAAGTCAGGTTATCTCAGACAGTTCTGTACTGTTATTATTAAGCACTAAAACCTTTCATGATGACAAAATTAACATTACTTTATGAAAAATTTTAAGGAGCCCTCCCAAGTATTCCATCCCTTAGTGCTTGCCTTCTTTTTCTCTACCCTTTGGAAGTGCAGTAATTGTATTTCCTGATCTAATTGGAAGGGCTAAACCATGACTAATGGACCACGTGTTTGGATTTATTTATCTTAAAAATTAGAGTGTTTATAAATGCTTAAGTTTCAGGTACTTTTTCAGTGCTGACTGAATACTTGACAAAAGCAACTTGGGTTCCTTTTGACTCACAATCTGAGGGTGTGGTAAAAAGGCCTGGCAACAGGAGAGTAAGACAGGTTGTCACACTGTTACCTGATTTATGAAGCAGAGAGAAATAAATGCTGAGGTTACATTAGTTTCCTTTTATTCAGCCACAGGCCCCATCATTTGCAATAGTGGTGTCTATAGTCAAGGTTCATCTTCCTTCTTCAATTAACCCTTTCTGGATTCTCAGAGACACACCCAAAAGTGTGTTTTCCTACCATTCTAAATATAGTCAACAGTTGTCATGCTAGCCATTATAGCCTGGAAAACACTACCCGGTTCTAGACTATAGTATCTCTTCACAATGTTAGGTTATTTTATAGTATATCTTCTATGGGAAGGATACAGTAGAAAATTGAGCCACATAGAGTTTTATCATACACATACTGCTGTATGATAGTGTTAGGTGTGTGTATTAGAACAGATTATTGATATATGCTGATTTTTCTACTGTAGAATTTTAAAAGTAACACTAAAATTTGTCACTTTTCTAACTTTTCTGAAATATAAAAGTGTAGAAGTTTTTTTTAAAGTATCTTGTAAAATTTGCATAAGTTGAATCTCCCAGTGAATAATTCTGTCCAACCACAGAAGCATCTTCCTTTTAAATGGCTTTTTGATTTGTAGTCATGCTTTCCTGTAATTAATAGCATCTGAGAAATAAAATTAGTGTTACAACTACTGAGTACTCATTAATGAATGCACATTATTTATATGTGGACATAGTACACAAGTGAAATACTGCTTCTTTTTAGTGTACAAAGTAAAGACCAGCCAACAGTGGTGGCACATGCCTCTAATTCCAGCACTACGGATGTGGAGATAAGTAGTTCTCTGAGTTTGAGGCCAGCCTGCTCTACATAGCTAGTTCCAGGATGGGCAACCCTGTCTCAAAAAACAAAACAAAAAGGAAAGACTCTTTAAGATTCACACATAAAGGCAAACATTTTAGTTTGCAATACTAGCATTTCAAAAAATATTTGAAAATATATTTTCCTAGTTTCACCATATTGTGTACTTTTTTCCTACTTTTTCAAAGGTTTGTCCCATCAGATGAAAAGAAGAAACAAGGTTGTCAACGAGAAAATGAAACGCTAATACAGAGAAGAAAAGATCAGATGCAACCAGGGGGCACAGCAATTAGTGTCACAGTACCTTATAGAGTAGTAGACCAGCCCCTGAAACTTATGCCTCAGGACTGGTAAGATTCCCCCCCCCCCCCCCGTTCTCTCTGCATTAATGTTTTGTTTGCATCTAAAGGTATTTTTTAAAATATTTATTTTGTATATATGAGTATGCTGTGGTATGAATGCAGGGGTCAGAGGACAACTTGTAGGAGTTGGTTTTTCTCTTTCTACCATGCATGTCCTGTAGTTGTAGCACGTTTACCTGCTGAGCTATCTTGCCTGCCCATATTTTAAATGATATGAATAAGTATCATACTGTATAATGGAATCTAAATAGAAATTGTCTTGGAAAATGTATTAGTGCATATATGAAGATCTCTGCCAATAATACAGACATCCTAGTACTATCTTATTGTCACAACTGTTATGTGGTCTAAATTACATCTAATTTATCTAGTAGTGTGCTATACTTTTGAAGATGCTTTTGAAAGTTTGGGGCATATATTGCACAGAAGGAAATGTTTTTGCTTATGATTTAATTTTAGCCTTTGAAATGAATAGGAATTTTAAGGTTGCTGTTGATCTCAGTGACTTTGCTAGTTAGTTGTCATAGTGTGTGGGGAGTATGTGTATATGTCTGTTGAATCAAGGCCTCATTCACTGTAGTTTGGGCTTGAACTCACAGTAGTCCTTTTTCTTTTCTTTTTCTTCCTTCCTTCCTTCCTTCCTTCCTTCCTTCCTTCCTTCCTTCCTTCCTTTCTTTCTTTCTTTTTTTTTTTTGAGACAAGGTTTCTGTTTGGACCCTGTCCTTAGCTCTGTAGATCAGGCTGGCCTTGAACTCACAGAGATCTTCCTGTCTCTGCCTCCTGAGTGCTAGGATTAAAGGTGTGTGCCACCAACACCCGGCCACAGTAGTCCTTTTTCTTTAGCATCCTAAAAACTGATTATTGGCATTAATTCCATACCTGGCTTACTGTAGTCTTGAACAGAGTACTGGTTAATTGTTTTGATGGATGTATAGAATTCTTAGCTAAAGCAGTGATTATTAATGTATGGTAGGAAGATCTCTGGGCATTATGAAGACCTTTTAAAGAACAACCTAATTCCATAGTAATACTCGGGTGATTATTCTCTTGATAGACCAGTTCTTTAATGGAACTTTTTTATTCAGTTCCCAAGATTAATCATTATTCTCCTTCCTTCATTCCCTCCCTTCCCCTCTCTCTTTGCTTCTGTTTAGTGGACTGTTCTTTAACATAGCCATGTATTTGTCTCATCTGAAAATGGGGTACAGTAGTATTCACCTCACCAGAGTGTTTTGAAGATATGAAATGTATTAACATGGTTAATTTATAATGTGCTTAAAACAACGCTGTCACTTAGTAAATACTTAGTCAATGTTACTAATGGTAAGTAACTATTGTTATTTTGTTCTTGACAGATGTATGCTTAAACTGCTTATGGCATTACTTGATAGAATTTTTAACTAAATATCATGCAAAATAATGAAATATGAGTACCTCGAAAGAAATTTGTTCTTTCTTGGAAAACTAGTTTGTACAGCTGAAAAGATGAGTTGCTTTAAAACCAGACTAACTTTTAGGGTAAATAAAATAGTTGTCTGGAGCTTGGTAAATTAGAAAAGTTGAGGTGTTCTCATACTCAGATTATTTCTTCCTAAGGAACCAGAGCATTTGAAGTCTTGGAGTCTTATAAAGTGCCTGGAAAATTCCTATAATTTAATATTTTAATTAAATTTAAATATTTAATATGTATTTGCATTTCCAATAACTTCCATTTAAAACCACTTTGTTCAGTTAATAAATCAGCTACTGTATTCCAGTCTGTGAGTAGACTCTACTTAAGGGAAGAAAAAAAGGATTATAAAGATGACCTGAAACTATTGTTTGCAACCATCTCCAGAAGACTTAGGTAGGGATTGGGGCCATTGAGGTTTATATTCTACCAGCATACTAAAATGTCAAGTCTGCTATGTTTGCCTCACCAAGAGGACAGCTGGGAAGACTGCCACCTCAGTAATTATGAGGGTGCTTTTAAGGGTTTGCAGTACTTAAAGCTCAAGTTTGAGGTATTCTGCTCTCTTCCACTTCCTCTTTTCTGCTTTTAGGGATCGGGTTGTAGCTGTTTTTGTTCAAGGTCCTGCTTGGCAATTCAAAGGATGGCCATGGCTTCTGCCTGATGGATCACCAGTTGACATATTTGCTAAAAGTAAGATTCTCTATATGTTTACTTCTTATTCAATATAGAATTAGTTTTTAAAAGAAGAGCCACATGGAAGTCATCCTGTATATGAGTGTATTAAAGGATTGCCATTAAGTAACATACAATACTGATCTTTAACGAACTATGAGGTGCTTTTAAAGTCTTTTATACATTAATATTTTCTGTGGTCATATATAAAAAATATGTGTGTTGCCTATACGTTATCTTGCTAAATATTTAGGTTATTTATATTATTAGTATTTCAATATGCCTGTAACTATTTAGTAAGAGTGGTAACTACCTTTATATAATGTACATGGTATAAATTAATGACTTTTCACAGTAACTAAGTTTTATATAGGTTGACTTTTGCTGTATAGCAGCATAATAAATGTCTAGGACATATATCAGCTACCTCATCTCAAATGGTTATTGTATGATTGGCCTTCTTTATTCAGTTCTCTCAGCTCAAGTGTTCTTTCTTTGGAGAGTCCTTCTTGGCAACTTTTAATTTTAATCTTTACCAGAAGTCTTCCCTGGCAAGAATGCAAATACCACAGTAGGAGCAGCCCTTTTCTCCTTTATTCATTCGTTTATCTTTGTGTTCTTAACAAAAGAATGCCAGATACATGAAGACTTTCAATAAACACCCTATGAATGAATGTTAAATCACCTGTTGAACATACATTCGTATAAATTGATACAGTAGACTAGTCTACTAGGTGGAAGGGATGGTCCAACTATTACTTAGTTGGCACACTCATTAAAATACTGATGTTAGTAAAATTAACTAAAAACTATCTCATGAAACAGGGACTTAATTAGTGACAACTTATTTTGAATATAAATTATACTATTATACAGTCCAGATATTATTTTAGCAACCCATTTTTATTGTTAACACCATTCTGTCCTAAAATTAAAATCTGCCAGCATTTGAATCCTCTTAGTTCTCACTCCCCTAGTAATTTCACACGCATTTGTTGTTCTGGCTGTGTTCCTCCTACTCAGCTGAAGAACTGTCCTTGATATAGTAAACTTTTTGTAATGATTTTCCATGTCACTCAAATTCTAGACGTTTATGATCTTAATCTCTTGTCCTTTTTCTTTGTTACTTTACATATTCCATTTCTTTTACATTTTCATTTCTAAAACAAAATCATTTTTTCTTTGGGCATTCTCTTGATCACTGTGTCACTTTATCACTTGCTTTTTTTTTTATTGCCTATGTAATCCTTTTAATTTGTCTAATGAAAAGGTATTCTTTTATGTCTCTGTGATATTGTACTGCCCTTACTGTACTGTTATTGAGCTGTCTTTATCTTCCTATTCTTCACTTGAGTCATGAATTCTATTTTACCTTATTTAGTATTTCAATCTCCAGTAGCTAACTTGTAGCTAACACCCTCACTGTTGACCCTGAGTGTTTCTGATGGTACCACATGTTTAACAGTTGTTTCGGAGATCACTGGTTATAATGTTAATGTGGCTTCAGTTGATAGTAGAAAGATAGGAATTTTGTTTGTTTTAGTATTTGTGTTTATATATACTTTCTTTCCAGAAAGTGTTTCCACAATTTTGGCCTCAGTTTTAATAAAAATGTTATTTTTTTTTCTTCCCTGTTTCCCATGTAGTTAAAGCCTTCCATCTCAAGTATGATGAAGTTCGTCTAGATCCAAATGTTCAAAAATGGGATGTAACAGTATTAGAACTCAGCTATCATAAGCGTCATTTGGACAGACCAGTTTTCTTACGTTTCTGGGAAACATTGGATAGGTAATTGTGATTCTAAAATATACATAAATTATTTTAGTGAGTTTTATCGGAATTTAAAATATTTAAAGTTATGATATATTTGCTTTGAATATTGTCTGATTTGATGCCAACATGATTGATTGATTGATTGATTGACAAATAGTTTGATTTATTGACTTAATATGTAGCGTCTAGAGTCTGATAGAAGGCACATTAAACTCTGAGAAGACAAAAATTTTCTGGTCTAGCTCTAATGAACTGGTCTGAACTTCACTTCCATATCTGTTCAGGGAGCCTGGAGTCAGGTAACCCCTAAGCTTCCCCCTGAAAGTTTGTGAAAGAATTTAGTTCTTACATTTATTTGAATTACTAAAATAGAGTTGTTAAATCCTTTAAAATAACTGCTGTAATTTATAAATATAAGAAGAGCAAATTATCATAATCAATACTTTGAGTTGTTGTCATTTGTTGTGTTCCCTGAAAATTTTATCTTGTTTGGTATATCTCACATTGTATCTGCTTTCTGAAAGTCATGAGGTAACTCTATGGTTATAACTAAGCTCTTAGGTTATAGAATTTAATGAGAAAAAAATGTTTTCTTTTTTCAGTGTTTTGTCCTTTAATGATTTTAAGTTATAAAAAAAGAAGTCACCTCTTTTTACATGTAATATTCTTAAAATTTGTATTGTAATCATAACCCATTATTCTATTTCTTCCCCCCCCAGGTACATGGTAAAGCATAAATCTCACTTGAGATTCTGAATCTTTTGATTCCTACTTTTCTGAAAACTTGGTTTAAGAAGCATGGATATAGCTTGATCTACAGACTGAGACCCAAGCTTTATGAATTCATCAAGAACTTGCAAATGAAGAAGGCCACAGAGCAGTCTTTTTTTAAGACCTTGTTTGATGCTGTGTGCTTCAAAGGGGCATTGCCTCCCATCCATACAAGCAAACTTTTTTGGCTTACAACTATTTTTTTAATATTAGCCTTCTAGTCTGTAATGGAAATTGTATATTTTGATAGAAGCTTTTTCTCTATTGGTTAAATTAGCATTACTTAAAATTTGTTTCTTTAGAAATAAATACAGGTTATAAATGTGTGTATATTTAGAAGTTATTAGGCTCTCTAAGCCATCTTGCTTCTGATTTTTCATTGCTCTATGATTCCTTTTACTGGAAAATACTGTCATGAATGGTTTGAAATTTTAGACTCTAGAACTTCAAAACCCCATCAAAGGGAAGTAACTATTAAATCAGTTGAAAGTTGGCCTGTGTGTATACTATGTCTATACTAAGTCATGTTTAAAAAGGAATAATGAAAAATCAAGAAGTCTTCAGTTTCAGTTGAATTCAGCCTTTTCAAGATTTCTTTTGTAAATGAATACATTTAATGAATGTACATTCTCTTTGTTGACTTTGATGATTTTAAACTTAAAGTGATATATTTCTATCTGGGATATGTTTCCACTTGAAAAGAAATCTCAAAAAGCAGATTAAAGTGTAATAGGCTGTTGGTGATTTTTACTTGGGGAGCTAAAGTATGATTTTGGGGATGTGAGTACTTATAAGCCTAGTTACAGTGTAACTTGAACTTCTAAGTTTGGTTTTGATTCTTATATGCTATAGGATTTTGAGTCTTCTATTTGTACACATGTCACCTTGGAACTTCATATCTTCAATTATTCCTAAATATTGATAAATTCCCAGGCACCAAAGAACACATTTCCTTACGTGTCTGAACAGAAACAAGATAAAAACACTGGTATTTTTATGTGTGTTCAGTGTGGTATAAAATATAAAACCTATATTTTAACGTAGTAAAATATTTTACTATTTCTCTACTTTAAACAGAGTGTTGCATCCAAGCTGCATTGAATGACCATGCTCCTTGAGTCCTGGTTTTATCTTTTACTACTTAAAAGGAATGTTTATTCCATGAAACAGTGGGGGTTTTGGGTTTTTCCCCCCTCCCTTTAGAGCTGTTGTTGACCATCCCACCTTGTATATTGATTTCCCCAGTGGCTATCTCTTAGGTTATCAAATTGGGGAATTGGGGGGGGCAGTAAAATATTTAACTTTTCTTTTATTCTGGTGAGGATTCTTAGCCTCTTTAGAATTTAATGCTATCATAAAGATGAAAAATAACTATTATATATTTTACTAATTTACTACAAAAGTCCATTATCAGTAAAAATGGAAAAGAAATTTATTCAGATGAAATTCAGTGGGCTCTCCAGAAGAGAAGCAGCTAATGTTTTAAATGGCTTTAGCACAAGTTTAGTAGGTTCTGCCCACAATTTCCCATTCTCCCTGCATCCCCTTTATGGTAAAAGAAAACTCACTTTGTTCACAGAATTTCTCAGCATACAAATCTCTTCTTAAATTATGTTTTGAATAAACTTTCTCCACAATGAAATAGTCATTGAGTTGAACCTGTAATACTTTAATGTAAAATTACTTGTTAGGACTACTACAAAGTGGACATGAACTACTACTGCCTTCCCATAAAGATGTTTGGTATTTATTCTTACTATCTAAAATTTACTTGATAACAAAGTATGGTTAAAATTAATACCGACTTTGAACATGGTTTATTTTTCTATTTTAAATTTGCTTTGTGTGTAGTCAAAGATGTCTGGGTATACTCTGTAACTTAGTAAACCTAGAACTATGCTTTAATGTATCTTGAAATCAGATCCTTTGTGTACACTGGGATTTCTTGTTAAGATTTAAAAAAAAAAAAAAAAATCCAGGTGAAAATGTAATGAGTTTCATGATGGCATTTGGTATATACATGTCATTTTACTTGTTCTTTCCCTTTCCCACTGTCCTCCTTGGCCCTCTTGACCCTTTTCCCCCTTTGCTTTCCTATTATATACATTCTACTTCTCTTTTTCTTCCTCACGCTTCTCTAAGAACTCTTCTTTCTTCTGTGTCATAGTCTCCTTTCTTTCATTATCTACACATAAACATGCACATACATTTTAGATTTTTTTTTTAACCTCAAAATTTTGGTCTCCTGGGTAAGTTTATGAAATTTTTTAGTAACTAATTATAAAAATAAAGGGAAAAAGCAAATTATGGAAATTCACTATGCTCAGCCAATCAATCATTCATTATTCTCTGTGACTCAGCTCTACAGCAGCACCCAATACAGTGCCTTGCACATGTAGGCATTCAGTAGTTATTTTTATGTGTAAGTAGATGGTGTATTTTCAGCATAGGTGATTCAGTCCATGAAAATAGTTTTGACCTTATTTTATCTTAGCATTTAAGGATAAAGAATTCTAAGCAATGAGAAGAAATGAGTAGATAGTTTAATGAATACACATTAGTAAGTTCAGTTTACCTATTAAGTTGCAAACTGGAGGGTACTCTTGCCAGCTTTACTTGTAAAGGAAAGTTCTCTGTCATTTGGATTCTTCTAAGTAACAGTAAGAAAAAGTATGTAGTTTTTAATCAGAAGCTCATCATTTGAAGAGATTTGAAAAATATATCGAAATCCTTATTTTTATTTTCTGGGATAATTCCACTTGTCACTAATTTTAAAAAGTTTCCCAGATAATTTGTGTATGTGTGTGATGAGTGAGATTCACCCTTTTAAAGTGTTATTGGAAGTAATACCAGTATTACATGTTGTGCGCCCCCCCCCGAAGTCTGTGTATGGTGTGTGTGTGTGTGTGTGTATGGTGTGTGTGTGTGTGTACGTGGTGAGGCCACTCTTTGCACTAGACCATCTCTCATTGGTGATATTGGCCTATGCCCCCAAATGACAAATTCAAATCTTATTTATTTAATATCCAAGGAGTATTTTGCTGTTTAATATTTAAACATCTCTTAATATATTTCATTATTAATTAGTATTATAGCTTATAGTTTGTTTCCTGTTTGCATATTACTTTACTAAGTATTCTTCAGCTGCAGCAGGACAGCAGTTTATACAGGATGAACTAATTCATGACGAAAATCTCAAGTCTTTTAATTTGAAAGAACTATTAATTTCTTTGCTATGCAGAGTATGATACAATTTAATTATGGAAAGAAAGGTATAGTTTGAGTTAGTTTACACAAAAAGTAGAAAAGTTCTCACCTAAATGAAAATTCAGTATCTAATAAATACTTAAACATTTTTTAAATAAAAATTTCTGTGACTTCTTAACTCAAAATGATGACAGTGTTCTTTTTGTTTTTTGTTTTTGGAAGGTGGGAAGGGATTATGTATTGCACTGATGAGCTATGCAAAATTGTTTGACACTTTTCAGTATCTTACAATGTTATAAATACAGTACTTACTGAAGCTGGCTTTACATTTTGTGGGTTTTTGTTTGTTATATTGTTGTTTGTTTGTCAGCTTGAGAATAAACCCAGAGCCATGCACATTTCAGGCAAGTGCTTCTACCACTGAGGTACACTCCAAACCATAAATTGTGAAATTGTTTAAATGCAAGATTATAGCTAAACTTGAGAAGTTTTATTTTCATGCTCCCGGAAATTTATTAAAGCATGTGTGTGAATGTGCGCGCGCGCGCACACACACACACACTCACACACACACACACGCCAAAAGATTTGTTATTCTGTCTAATTTAAAATCATGTAGAATGTTGAGAAAATTATAAGATAAAATCTATAGGAATTTGTTTTTAACTGAAAAGCTGGTGGCTGCTGTTTTTCCAATAAATGAAATTTAAATTTAATTGCATTCACTTTGAAATTACTGGACTGAATTTTCATTATCTATTTGGGTTTAATCTTCATGTGGTAGTTTACATTAATTTATAGTAAAATGGGAATTGATTAACTTTGACTTAGAAAATTTGATTAGGGACTTTAAATTAGATCCTAAAGTTTTTGACACATTCTTGGCCATGTTTAGAAGTATGTTTTGACCCTAACATAGTTTCTGTGCTAACATGTTGGCAGAACAACTAAGGTAAAGTGAAAATGTATAATAAATGTATAAAGAATTCTTTTTAGTAAATACACAATAGGTTAATAATGCTTTCGGGTCATTGATGTGTTTGGGATTGTGTGTATCATTTTAGGAACTGTTCATAAGAGTATGTTGGAAGTTATAAGCTGCCATATACTGAAATGCAGTAAGCATTTTTATATGAATAAAGTTTGTGAACTGCGACCAGATTTGTGCCAAAATTTAAAGGATGGGATTATAGTATGTCAAAATTAAGCAAATGATCTTTCTAAATATTTTGTGTGCTGTTGGATTTTGTTTCTATTTTAAACATAAGTAAAGCTACTTAACCTCCAACTTTGGTTACAGTTCTTAATAGCTAAACTTAGTCCTTACCATTGTAGTGGCCACTGTCACTTGGTTGTTTAATCATCAATTAGTGGTGTTTGTGAAGCAGAGTAATTCCTAATAGAGTTTCGTTTGAAACCTCTGTTACCAGATGAAATGTTCTCATTCCAGTCCGACAGCTTTTAATTGTGCGCTTTATTTTACACAAAACATGTCCTGATAAAAATCTTAGGTATATATCTACCTTCCCTTAATTACCAGAAAAGGCCCCAAACAAACAAAATACAACAAAAGTAAGTAAGGTGTGTGTGTGTGTGTGTGTGTGTGTGTGTGTGTGTGTGTGTGTACATAATGAATACCTTCCATAAACGCAGAAAATATTGTGACCTTGGGATGTTGCCTTTATGTAAAATGATTCATGAGTTTTGTCAGGCATAGGATTTCTGTTCAGGAAATAAAGATGCTGCTTTTTGGAATTACTGAGTTAAATCCATTTACCTTTTCTCTGTTAATAAGTTAAATAACTTCTAGACTTAGAGTTCTTGGTAAAGTCAGCGGGCTTCATAACCTACTGAACTTAAAATTACATTGAAGTATGTCAAGTTTCTTGTTATTGTAATAGTATTAAAAGTATATCCCAATATTTTCCATATAAATATCCTGACTTTAACTTTTTACAAATTTCAAAATCAACCACACTCCCATATAGTCAAATACAATCAAATCATGAACAATATTATCATATTGGCAATGCTAGTAATAATACATGAATCTGGTGTGACAGTTTTTTAACGACAGATTTAATGGGTCATATCCAAATTTAATTTTCATTCTTTTCACAAGTGCTCAATAAATATGAATTTATTTTATTCCCTTCAGTCATTTGCTCTGAGATCCATGGCTGTGAACTAAAACAATGAGTGCGCTGTTGGGTTTTTTTTTTTAAGGCTCAGAGGTGTGCATGCTAAAAGCACATTGCCAGGTGTGCCTTTTTCTTTCTCATTTTCCAAAACAAGTTCCTTTTTTATTTAGTTGCATGATGATCACATTTAGTTTGAATTGGAAGGTTTATAGCTATTTTTAAAATGATCATGACCATAGAAAAGCCTAATCAAGTAGCTCTATATTTTATAATTTGTCACAGAATGTATAGTTTATATTTCATCCTTATCCATGAATATTGAACTATAATGTAAATAGAGCTGAGGTTATACTGAAGCCGAAAACATCTGAGAGATTCTCTTACTACATTTTGATAATTTATTGGACTCTGCTTCCTTTGCTAACAAATTCCTAGGAGAGAACACACTAGGTCATTCACTGTGGTAAAACAAGTTTATGTATTCTTACAGAACTGCCCTCCTAGACTCAACAGTGTTAAGACTAAATGTGAAGATGGCATCTGTTTTTTATTTTTTAGATTGGCAGGTAATATAAATGTTCATTGAAATGGGGTGGTTTGAAAGTTTTTATCAGGACTCTGTTATCACCAAAGATGTAAAAGTGAATCTCATCATGGCTCATGAAGTCATTTGAGCACAATTTTAGCATCATTAGTATTTATGGTGGTTTTGACTATAAAACAGTTTGAAAATATTTTGTGTTATTATTGCGAAATGTATTGCTATTTTGTAATGAATAGCTCATTACAGAAACAAATGTAGAGCTATGGATAAAATAATTGAGCTTTAAAGCAGTTTAAGGATAAAGCAAGTTGATGTTGGACTTTGAAGAGAAAGAAATTATTTGGAATCTTAACATAAAAAGGAAATACGGTATAATATGAATTTGGGAGCTAGATAGACCTCTGATGTGAGTTTTCCCCAGAAACATTGAACTGCAAGTGTAATGTAGAGAATTAGGACTTAGATTCATTTTATTTGCTTATTTTAGTGTTTTCGGGTAGAAGTAGAATCCAGCTAGGGAGTTGGAGGCTTTTGCTACGTGATGTTGTGTGTTGACAGAAGGTGGAATCCAGGTTCTACAAAGAAGTCATGGAGAAGAGCTGGTGGAGAAGAGAAGCTTCCTATAGAGCTTGACAGTTGAGAAGGGAGATTAATTAAGTGGGATTTGTAAATTCATGCTTTTCATAAAGTGCCAGTACCAAGAGCTGTAAGCTGACTGCTGGGTGCTAGAAAAAAGGCATCCCTGAATAT